CCTTTGATAATGTCCACCGCAGTTGTGGACGAAACGTCAGGAAGAAATTCCCATAGACCACGGCTTCAAAGCCCGGAAAACATTCCTAAATGTAAACTAAGATTAATCTTTGGTTTTGCAACAGTTCAACACACGTTGCAAATGAAGTTAGTTATGCTTTAACCGCCACTTCCTTGCAGAGTTTAGTGAATCGTTTCCGTTTTCTAGGACGACAGTGGCATTGATGTGAGCAACAGCAAACTACCAGAACCTCCGAACAACCAAAGCTACGGCCTGATGAAGTTTGCGGAAAAGAACATGAAGAAAATCAGCCGCAATTTTACCATGAATATTACCAAATCGCTGACGCGCATGAGGAAGCACATGTCCAAGACTGAAGACAACACCAGCGGTAATAAAAACAAACTCTCCCTAGAGCGGTGCTTACATTCAATTTCAGGGTCTAATGCGGACGTTAAGAAGCCGAAGCGTCCAGCACCCACATACGAAAACGTGGAAACCCGAAACCCCGCGCTGAAGACGACGATTTACTCTCAACCCATCATAATCGAGCCCAAACCGACCTCAGAATCTCAACCCTCTGAAGAGCAGGACAAGATGAAAACCATCTCCAGACCCAAGGGAGGTTTCCTCACTAAGTTCAGACGAAGCATGTCTTTGTCGGTAGAATCTGCGAACGAAGTTACCTCGAATCTGAACGGCGGCAGAACCAAGAGCACCTTCTACCTGACTGATGCCATTGATATTGATAGCAGCGAGAAACAGAGCAGCTCAGAAAAATCGCTTTCTCCAGTAGTCAGGCATGGGAGGCCGGCCCCAATGAGGCCCACCAGTCCCCCACCTCCAGCCCCAATAACTCAGCCTGGTAGCTACAGTGCCTTGTCTGATCCAGCTTGAACTGAGGCGAAATTTTTATTCCAGAGCTGAGAACATCGAATCGCAAGGACGGGAAAAGCTCCTCTTGGTACGCGGACTCCGGGGTCTTCAAGAACATCGACCAGACCAAGAGGCCGAACACCTTCTGGTATGCAGAGGTTGGATTGTATCAGAGCAACTCGTCTCCAAGCACCAGTTCGGCTGAGAATAGCGGTAGCAATCTGAGCGTCCCCATTAAACGTATGAGTTGGTGCAGTGCACAACATTGGGGCAGCTGTTTCAAGTGGGATTGTTTTAGCCTTTGAGATACCTAGACCCAGTTTGAAGCCTTCGGACTTCATCAACCAGGACGACAAGGAGCAGTACAACAACATCAAAAATGAAAATCCCTACTATGCAGACAGCGTTAACAGTTTCAGTAGCATCGAGACAAAGCAGGAAGATTCTCTGAAGCAGGAAATTCAGCTCAGGCTTCAGGATGAACCGTTGTACCAGTTTTATGATGCTGCTGTCTTGGACGTAAGGTTTGTGAAGGAACAATGAAAAGTTTTGGCATTTCGGCAATTTCCAGTCAATCAGCTATGCTGATACTTCCGACTTCGAAGCCTCGGACTCGGACAACTACGAAGACGTGTCTGAGGAAGCCGTTATCAAGAACAACGTGAGCAAACATCGTCCTTCTGCTATGGAACTGGTGTCCCCTAAGAGGGACTCGATGTGTTTCAACAAGTCTCTCTGGTGCGAAATTCCCGAGGTCCTAAATTCATCAGTATTAAGTGAGTGGTCAGACCCCAACCTTTTTCAAGTTATGAAAACACTGTTCATTCTCAGGTACCCTCAGTGGACACCAGAAGAAGCTGCAGGAAGCGAAATTTGAGATTCTAACATCCGAAGCCTCTTACCTCAACTCGCTCAATGTGCTCAACGATCACTTTCTGAACAGCTTCAGAACCAACCACCTGATTTCGAAGGAAGAGCGCAATGTCCTCTTTGGTCACGTGGAAGACGGTAAATAAACCGTCAAGGAAACGGGAAAAAACGTTCAATTTGCCACGGTTTTCAGTTCGCAATTCGTCCGAGAAACTGTTGCATGATCTGGAAAAGTGCTGGCAAGATAACATTTTGCTGCACGGCATCTGTGATATTGTCCAGAAACACGCCGAGGAGAATTTCAACGTTTATATACCCTACTGTGAAAACCAAGTGCAGTTTGATGAAGTTTTAAAAAGCCTCAAGTAAGTAACACATAAGAAACGAAGATCAGTTTAATAAGGCAAATGGATTTTGCAGGGAACGTTTGGGTTTCACCGAGTTCCTGAGACATCTAGAAATGAGCGAAGCCTGCCAGTCCTTGTCGTTATACTCATTTTTGATGTTGCCGATGCAACGAATCACGCGATGGCCTCTTCTAGTGGACGCCGTGCTGAAGCGACTGTCTCAGCAGGATTCTGAGTATTTTGCCTGCCAGTTTGCGCTGGGAACTCTCAACAAGGTGGGATCTTTGCAAAGAAAAACCAGCCAGCGCTGAATATTGCGGTTTTTTGCAGATTGTGGGCCAATGCAACGAGGCGGCGCGCCAAAAAGAGCGAGAGACTGAACTGATCAAATTAGCCAAACAGCTGGAGTTTCCCCAAGCGATTCCTCACATCCCCCTAATAGCCCCTGAACGTTGGTTGGTCAGATGCGGGCCAGTTATTCACATGCAGCCCAGAAACGAAGACACCAAGCTAACATTTGGGAAGAGATTCAGCAAGACTACCGTCCATCTGTTCCTCTTTAACGATCTGTTCGTGGTCGCCAAAGAAAAGGGCGACAAATCGTACATAGTTCAACAGTACTGCCACAGAAACCTGGTGGAGCTGAGTAGTTCCGAAGTAGCACTTAGCGTTCCGGCAAAAGAAGCGCAAGGGAAAAACCTAATTTTCTTAACAGTCTTGGAGAACCAGGACGGGAAAATGATCGAATATGTAGGTTTTGAGGGAAATGTTTGCCAGTTGGCAGTAGAATCTTCTGGTTTTAGTTGCTGGCGTGCAGTTGCGAAAGCGACAAGGAGCGATGGGTCGAGGCGCTCACGCCGCCAAAGTCAGAAGACCCAGAAGAAACGCTTTATGATTGCTGGGATTGTCCGCAAGTGTTTGCCGTGCACAATTACACCGCCAGTCAACCGGATGAATTAGCTCTTGCGAAGAACGACGTGATCAACGTGCTGAGGAAAATGGCCGATGGTAAGTAGCAGCATCTTCGTCCTTAGCTTTGCTAAAACCGGATTTCAGGCTGGTACCATGGGGAAAAAATCCGGGACGGCCAAACTGGATGGTTCCCAGCCAATCACACAGTGGAGATCGCTAATGTGCATGTTCGCGCCAGAAACCTGAAACAACGCTATCGACTGTTGGCGCATACAGAGAATTACCTCAAATCAAAGTAGTTGGAAAAACTGACGAACAGTTCAACTTGCGTATAGAATCAGCAGTTTTAGGATTAAGGGACTCGTATAATAAAGAAACGCATTTTTCCTCAGAGGAATTTCGTATAAACAAATAAAACGTGATTTGTATTTTATAAAAACGTTGTTTTTAATTCTTGTAACATGGTTGTATATAGAATATTTTATGTTTACAAAATAAACCCCCCGTTTTTATGGATAAACGAATGCGTTTTATTCGCTCTGGCGAGATCAACATCTAAAGTTAATTCGATGATCATGTGTGGAAAACTTAAATGCTCAACAGTCGCCTATTAATTACAACAAAAAAGTTAGAATTAGCTTTTGATCCCAATCTCAATCACGTCCATTTCTAAGTATAATCGCAATCATAGTGTGGTGATTTAACAACAGTAGAAAATATAAAATATAAATAAAGGCAATTTCCATCACAGACTTAGTTGTCATGATTTAAGGCAAAGCCAATGTTAATGGAAAGTGAAAAGGTTGAACTGCCCACTTGTCTTTTTCGCGTTTGGTTAGCAGAACTATACACTACATGGCGAAAATTATCATCTTGCATTGGAAAATTCCCTGTAAATTTCACTTATTGAACGCTTATACTGCTCAGCTAGTCAGTCAAGTAGTAAAAAATCGTGTCTTCCAGATCAAACTTCCACCCTTAAATCCTAGTTTTGCTAAACCCACTGCCAGAATTAACATCAAACAGTTTCCTAACAAAATACACCTGCACAATGGTCGTTCCAGCAATGACCAGAATTTGGATAATCGACCAACGAACCACATAGTTGTTGTTCGCAGTCAGCAGATTCATGTCCCACGCCTCTCTGGCTCTTGTGCGGTGTTGGAACTGTAGCATTTCGTTGATATTCCGCTCCACCCCCACAATCGTTGACTGAAAACCCAAATATTAAGCACAGAAGACTAGAACAGTCAAGCGGGGAAATCTTACAGTGAAATTTTCCATGTTCATATTCAATTCATCCACATCTTTGGTGTATTGCTCCCATAGATCGTATCTGACGACGGTTAGGTAGATATTGACCAGTTTGGCGGCGAATTTGGAAAACTGGTTATCGATGCACACGGAATAGTAGCCTCCAGTCGATGATTGGTCTTGGTATTCACTGTTCGGCTTCCATTGGTACGGATGCACTATTTGGCCAGTTGGGTTTCGAACAGCAAAGCCTGCCATACCGTCACCACCTCGAACCACCTAATTTAACCAGCGAATTAGTCCGGATATTCTCAATTTTCCCACCGGCTGGATGCACCACTTTTTCCGAATATTCTCGCTTCTAACTGTGCACAACATAATTTTTGAGCGATCTTCCTCTAAGCAGTTTTATTTCCGCCGATGCTCTTGACTGACTTGAAAATTGAGACTCCATCTTTGGGTCTCATTTCATCCTCTAATTTTCCATTTTTAGACAGAAAATTTCATGTTTTCTGTCCCGTTTTGCATGTTTCTCGGAAGCAAAATGAGCAAGAATGCTCGTTTTT